TGAATATTGATGAAAGTAAATGATACTTTAAAATTCCTTAATGCTAAGAAAACAAGACATCCACAGGATGAACAAGGAGGTTAAAGGTAGGAGCCTCCGTTTCCTATGAGACTGATCTTACTTCACTACTGTAACTTGGTGGGCTGCATGGGTTGGTTAGAAAACCTTACAACATGCCTGATAAGACTCAGTTACATGGTAGCCTGCGTTCCTCTCTTTACAGACAATCAGGAGATGAAGTCCAGGATACTGGTGAGATGTGTCACATTAATCCTGTGCTTATGTTTATGCTTATGTCTGCCTCGGCCGCTGGGGTGGTTGCCCTCCCGCGTGGCGTCGCTGATGGGGATGGAATAGCGCAGCTCCCCCAGGGCAGCTGGTTGTCCCCGGGTCAGGGTGGAATGTGTGGCCTCACCGATTTCAGGAGCTCATCCCGGAGTCCGTCAGAGCGCTGTCTACACCGAGCCTTGCAGGCGCTTCAGAGTCCCCTGCAGGGACTTGGGTAAATAGCGGAAGTCAGCTAAGTTGGCAGGAAGGACATAGACGCCTAAGAAGCAGGTCGCAGCGCACTAGACGGAGGACTGTCCGTTCGTGTGTGTGCAGTGGGTGCGAGTGTGTGACGTGCCCCGTAGCTGCTCTCCAGAAACTGTTAGCAAGGACTGTCCCTGGAGTGGCAGGATTTGGGGGTTCCGTCTCCTTTTCACCGATAGGGTTGTTTACTGAGGATGGCTAGGCAGACAGTGAGAAAAGCGCTGTTGGCTGAGCTTGCGGAGTAGCGGGACCTCCCGGGGGAGGGGGTGCGCCTGCAGGTCCTGACGGGCTGTGACTGCAGGTGATCAAGGCCGCGGAAGACAGCGCCCTGCAGTACATGAACTTCATGAACGTCATCTTCGCGGCGCAGAAGCAGGTGAGCGCACGCCCTTCCTTTCCGGGACGCTCGCTTCGTAATGAGGAACTAATTTCTTTTTTCTTAATGAACCACTGGGGGAGGTTTTCTGACTAAACAGCCTTATGAATGGAGCAGGAATCTGGAATCCATGGTTCCTACAATCATTTGAGTCCTGGGCCCCTTGAGAATGAGCCCCCAGAAAGACGTGCACTCAGTGTTAATGCACTTTCAGGGTGTTCATGCGCCCCATTGGGCCCATCCGAGGACCCAGGCTAAGAGTCTCTGGCCTTATAATGTGCTACATGCCTTGATGAACTGTCACTAATACATGTCATTTTCTCCTTTGATGTGTTAAAACTTCTGTTATAATCTAAATGCCATAGTTGCATATACTGTTCTCCATTTGGGAGTAACCACGTGAGGTAGTGAAAAGACCATGGGCCTCGTGGACAGGCCATCTAGGGCTGACCCGCTGCCTCCCCTGGCTCCATGGCCACAGCCTGGCCCGGCCTGGGCTGCAATATGCTAATTGGATATCTGCCTTGCACAGTTATGCATGTTAAATAAGCCATTTCAAGAGTAGAGGTTGGCACATAGATTCTGAGTATAAAGTAGTCATTGTTATCATTCCTGTAATGTTTTCGGAATATTCGTTTCAGAATATTTTGATCGATGCGTGTGTTTTAGACTCCGATTCAGGACTCCTCCAACAGGTACGTTCTAGGTGAATGCTTGGTGTTGGTTGTGAAAGGGGGTGTGTTCTGTTCCTATTGTTCCATGCCTTTCACTGATCGTCACACATTTGTAGGGATTAGCCTGTGTGACAGTATAGATGAGAGAACGAACATTTCTCTGGCCCCTTCAAACTTTCTATTTTACATAATAACTTGATTGACTTTGGAAAAGTGATTCACACATTAAAACAAATATAAGCAACACAGAAAAGTATTTTTTAAAAAGGTTTAAAAAATCCCTTCAAATACTATTATTCGAAAGTTACCATTGTTAATAATTGGTGAAGAGAATGATAGATCTCTGTGTATATAGATATAGATTTTTAGGAAGAGGAAGGGAGAGGGGGAGAAACATTGACGCGAGAGCCAAACATTCATTGGCTGCCTCCTGCCTGCCCCCTACTGGGG